GGGGGGGGGGGGTGACAGTGGCGTGTGATGGCGATGGTGGCGGTGATGACAGTGGTTGCGATGATGATGGTGGTGGTTGATGGCAGTAGTGGTGGTGGTGACGGTGATAGTGGTGGTGGTGACGGCGGCGGCGGTGGTAGTTGTGGTGGTGGCGGCGGTGGCATGGTGGTAATGATGGGTGGAGGTAGTGGTAATGGTGGCAGTGGCATCGTGGTGGTGAGGGGTGGTGACGATGGCACTAGTGATACAATGGCGGCAGCGACGATGGTGGCGGCAGTCGTGTCGGGATGATGGTGGTGGTGGTGATGATGGTAGAGGTGGAAAGTGATTGAGAGAGATAAGTGTTTCTCATTTTGTGCCCGGAGACAAAAAAGCAGAAATTTTCTGATTCTTTTTTCTGTTCCCCATCACAAAAATTAAACCGGTTTATCCCAGGAACAAAAAAATAAACCGGTTTTACCAAACGAGTTTCCTATTTATTTCTGTTCTCGAGAACAAAATTTAAAAAAGAATTGATTTCAGAAAAGTTGTCATGCACACCATAGTATTAATTTTACAACAAATATGCTTCATCACATTTTTAACAACTTCACTGTTTCTAATTAAACCTTTTCTTCGTTCTACTGCCCTCCCTTTTGGTGTTTTATTTTTTAAGTATTTTTATTGACGTGTTTGTCCCTGAGCTTTATGTCTCTATTTTTGCAGTGGAGGAGATTGCAGTGTCAAGTTCAAGAACCTTATGAATGAAATATCAAAATCACAAACTCTATGGGAGAAATATTATTCAATCCGAAACGAATGATGGATAAATAGATCTGCACCGTGAGTTTTTTCGTACTTAAGAAAGTAGTGTTAGAGATCAACTGCCAGGGCATCTCCGCTGGTCGTTAACCTTATCTTTGGTGGGAAAATGTGATTTGTTGGTTGAAAACCATTGATGCATATTCAAAGGGGTCTGGAGAGTCAAACTAGTTACTTGTCCCACAGGAGAGTTCAATTGATGTGATCTACCAAGGGAATACTAGTGATTTCTTGTATAGGATGAAAAGTTTTGCCCTTTTGCTGTATGCATACATCATTTAGCCACAGTTTTTGATCATGAATTCACCACCCCTATTCTCTAGGGAAAAACAAAAGGCAAGAAAAGATAAGAAGAGATACGTTATTGGAATATACTTGAAATATTTGTCATTCAACCTTGTTTCCAACATAAATTATGTTAACGTTGGGCAGAGAAAGAATCACGCGTCTGAACAGTTGGCGTTGCATTAATGTCTCCCACAATTTAGGGAGCCAAATAAACTTTTATCTTATTGGTCAACATTTGAACTCTAAATTTCTCTAAGTTTCTTTTGGGGAAAGAGAACACATCTTAATTTAACTGTATTATTATTAAGGTTACATGGCAAATTATGAACAATGTTCACTGCATAGAAGGTATAGATACTGAAAACGAGAATATAGGACTTAATAATAATGGCAGCGGGACAATGTTAAGATATCTACGAAGTTAAAAGTAAGTGTTCAAAAGCCAGCAACACCCTAGATCTGCCATGTAAGCTAGCTTCATTTTCACGTGGAGATTAAGAATTTCGGTAGGGAAATTGCTGAATTATTTTTTACAAAAACGTGTATATTGCCAATCTTATTGCTGAATTGTTTTTCATTAAATACGTGATTGATCATAACCATTTTGTATTTGTCAAAAAAAAAAACTATTCTTTCAAAAGTTGTGTAACATGATTATTAATCTCATCTATGCTTTGCTTCGTCTCGGTCTTGCATTTCCAACAATAACGAAAGATCAAATTAAGACCAGCACAATTCAAATGTTGCTCAAATCTGGATTCAACGTGGAAATGGACACCACATGGCTCATATCATGGCCATGTCTAAAATGCTCCATGTGATATATGGAGCACTAATGTTCCATTCCTTCATCAACGTTGATTTTGTGATAAATAAGTCAACGGTTGGATTAAATTACCTGTAACTTTTGTAACAGGTCCTTTTTAAAAGTTATAACTATAAGCTAAGCTTGGTTCCTCAAAACACCCCCTGACCGTTAGCTTGCACCTTCCGGCCTTGCCACCGTCACCTCTCAATCTCCGGTGACCGGAAAACATTGCTCCTTGTCAATGAGAAAAAGTGAGGTAGTAAAAGATTGAAGATGGGGAGTTTGGTTGGAATTGGAGTCTCTTGTGACGTGACGGCCGGCCGATAAGAAGCTGGGAACGGCGTCGGGGTTCAACTTCTGGAAATGGATCATTGGATGGATGACCAATATTTTATTTTCATTAATGACAAAAAAAGAAAAAAGAAAAACTAGAACAAACTTGGTCTAAATTAACTTCTTATCTCCATTTTTATTTATCTGAATGACGCAGACATATATTTATCAGGATATGAATTTTTATTTTTTTATAAATCAAGATTCGACATCAGATCCTAATAAAAATATATTTGTGGCTGCCAATTGAAAAACAAGTGAATATTAAGTACCAATATCAAAATCACCATTAATTTGAGTAGTAAAGAATTTATTTTCCTTAATTTTTAATTTTGAGCCCTCTATAAAAAATAATTTTGGAAGACCTGCATTTCATATAAATTTAATAAAAATTTTTTTGGAGATATTCAAATTTAATAATACTTTAATTGGATTAATTTGGATTTCTTATAAACCGGTTGCTAGTTGTAAAGAACGAATTTGATACTCTAAGAACATTGTTACTCTTAAAGAAAGAAATATTGGTGCTTTACAGACTTAACTATAGCTACTAAAATTGGCAAAGCACCAAGATGGCTTAAACAACGAAATTGATAAAGAATTTGTAGAAGAGTGGCCATATATAAATATTATTAGAGAATATGATATGTTGAGATTTAAATTAAGAATTTTTCTTATAATTTGTTATTTTTGAAGGAATATCATTTGTACGTAATAATTATAAAAGAAGTATATTTAATTGACTCAAGTGAAACTATCATAATTCATCTTTGAACAATTATAATGACAGAATCATAACCAGCATCATCTTATTAATTTAATTAACCATACATGATACGCCCAACTTGCTATTTTTCTTATTATGGTCATTGCGGTCATTGTAATCATCATTATTGGTATTGTACCACATCAATGTTCTTATAGACTTAAATTATAGCTACCAAAATTAATATGGTTTGCTCCCATTTCACGATTGCTTGCAATAACTTGCATAAACATTTTCAAGCTATAACATAAGTGCTCTTTAAAGCATCCATTTTATCATAATTACATATCCGATTTCAGACCTAAAAAAAAAAGAAAAGAAAGATAAACAGCAAAGAGGAAGCCAGAAGAATAAAAAATTGCGGACTAATTGAGGTCGTAGTGGAGCTAAAGTCCAAAACCAAAGTGGGCTCAATGCCACAAAGCTTTTATTCATTTTTGTTGGGGGAAGTGGGGGTTATGTTTATCTTTTAGCCAACATTTTTATGTACCTATTGTCTTGGCAGGATGCTAAATTGAAATGGTTTTGCAGGGTCCCGAGGGGGGCCTGGCTTCAATAGTAAAACATGTTTGAGACATGTCTCATCACACAAGGGTGGCATATATATATGATTGTGAAAAAGAACTAGAAAGTTCTCAAAGGATTTTATTTTTTAGTTTACAGAAAATGATTTTCTGTTTTTCTATCTATGTAGAACCGAAAACTTGTATGTCAATATGAGCATAAAATTTTAATGTGACCAAATATAAATCTAGAGGTGAACTTAATTAATGACGCAGAAAGAAATTCTGTCTTACTGAGAAGAAAAAGAAAGGAATTGTATGCAGTATGCTTATCTATATATGTGTGCGCGCGCGCACATATGTTTCATATAATATCTTGTTGACTTTAAACACCGAGCTTTCATTATGTTTCATATGCACAGGCATCGCATCATAATAGTGGGATCTCCTCTGAAAGTCCCCTCCCCTCCTAAAAGTGAGAAAGCACTGTTATGTCACTTTAATTACACATGCATGTTCGCTCGCTTTGAATTTGATATAGAAAAAATGCATCAAAAGAAAAGTTATCACATAGTGAGGGAAGGAGAAATAGGTAGAGAATGCAATGAATGTTGCTACTAATTTTGTCCTTACTGATACTTAGGGCCAACTATTGGAAAGTCCTTGGATACCAATATAAGTGAATCTTTCTTTGATTCGGAGCTTTCTTGCGAGATGCTTAGTTGTAATGCTTACAACTACACATATGGGTCCTATATTTACATGTCTCACGTATAAGTGCCCCACACATAATTATAGATGCTTTTGTCATAAACACTGCATTCAAAAATATTTCTGCAATTACTACAAATAAATTATGGGAAAATTGTGTATAATTTTAAAGGATGTAAAGTTGTGTCATTTTAAGAGAGAGAAAGAGATAGATAAAGTAGGAGAGAGAGTTGACAAAAAAAATAAAGGTGTGGGTCCCGCCTCTTTGTGAGAGTGAAAGGATGTAAGTTGTGTAATTTTAAATGATAGACACTTTTCCCATAAATTATCTGTATTTATTCTCAAAATAATATCGTTTTAGAATTGAAATATTAAAAAATTATAAATATACGACTATTATAACTCTGAAATAGATTAAAATTACAAAAACACCATGATTTTCGTCCCAAAACAACGTCGTATTGGGCTTACTGCAGATAACTTATCTGCAGTAACTGCAGACAAAACGAACCCTTCGTGTAATTAAGAATTTACATTTTTTTTTTAATTGTGCCCATATTTAATTTTATTTTATATGCAAATGAAATGCAAGCTTCCTGCCACTGCGTTTCAAGAATAATATAAATAAAGACTAGTACGCGCGCAGTCTAAACTCAAAAACAATAGGACTTAATTAAGACAGGATTGAAGTGCACATTAATACATGTAGTTTTTTTTATTATTATTATTATAGCTTTATACTTATAATACAAGAGCAAGGCTAATTAATGTATAGAGTACAAACAACTTGCTATGGAATATTGTTGTCTGCATAGTGTTTAAAGGTGTGGGTGCATTGATTGTTTTCCATGGCATTAGTATGATGAGGTTGGGATATGGTTGAGAGGGATGGATGGTAAGAATACCAACTGGACCAAAAGAGATAGTTGAGGAAGTTGAGGAAGCTAAGGGCAGCTAGTAACCAATAGAAAAGGTCAAGCTTGTCTTTGTTGAGATTGTTGTAATGGAGCCAACCACCAGTTGAAGAAGTACAAGTGATCTTATTGACCAAAGAAACCAATACAGAGCTGAAATAAAATCCAAATGAGTATGAGCAATACGTGATGGCTGTTAAGAATGTCTGCATCCCTTTCAAAGACTGCTTGTAGAAGAACTCGATGAGGCCAACAGCTGTAAACATCTCTGACAAACCAAAAATTAAGAATTGTGGGGTAATCCAAAAAATGGATAAAGTTTTGTTGAGGTTCAAAGCTTCATCCCTTCTCTTTTTCTCCACAAGGGCAGCTGAAACCATAGAAAATGTAGCTAGAAAGAGGCCAAAGCCTATTCGCTGCAAAGGTGAGATTCCAGACTCATGACCTGTGATTTTTCTGGCAAAGGGGACAAAGAATCTATCATAAAGAGGGACCACAACAATGAGCAAAATATATGGAACAGATTGAAGCGATGCAGGAGGGATTTGAAAGGATTTTGTGAGATGGGTGTCCATGGCACTCCCTTGTTGGACTGAGAATGTTTGTAGTTGTGCTAAGATTGTGTTGAAAACTATAGTGCAACCAAAAATTGGAATAACTGATAGTAATATCTTCGCTTGCTCAACTTGCTCAACAGAACACAATCTCCACGGGCTTTCCTTTGTGTTAGTCCCCTCTTCCACTCTGATACAAGCCTTGTCCAAGAACCTGAAAGTATATAGTGTAATATTTTTATTTTTATTTTTTATTTTAGGGATAAATGAGCATATTGGCAGAAAATACTATATATGCATTCATTCTTCTAATAAGAGCATGACGATAATTAAGCAGTTTTTTTCTCAGTGATCAAGGTGTTTAAAAAATAATTAAGGAGACATTAAGGAAGGAAAGAAAGAAAAGAAAAGAAAACCAATAAAAACAAAATAGGAAATTAAGTACCTAAACTTATTGGTGTGTTGCCGACCAACATTGTTTTGACTTCCATGAAGCATTTGTGGGTTAGATGGACATATTTGCTTTCTTTTCAATATTGCAGCCACGAAAACCTGATAAGGTAAATGGTAAACTTTTTTTTTTAAGTAAAGAGCCTTATGAGCCAATATATTATCATATCAATCACAATATTATAAAGCCAACACTATCCTAGTACGTGACTCAGCAGACATCACTTGTAGTATTATTTGACACCCCATGTGCTAGTTTTCTATTTCTGAATTGACACTCCAAGGATTAGCTACTGTATATGTACTAGCCTCAGATAGAATCAGGTAATATAAAGGTTATAAGAAATTCAATTACTATAGTCCCTTTTATCAGGCACACCAAAATATTTATAGATAATTAGTAATAAATGAATCCCTAGCTGCATGTATCCGCGTTTCTATCGAACTTAAGAATGTAGTGAATTAGAAAAACTACATTAGCAACCATGATAAAAAAAAATATGGATGAGATCCTTTCATGTTATTCATTAACATGAGAACATCGTACAATAAGAGGGAGGGACAAAAAGGCAAAACTAATGAACTTTATATAAATAAGGTTGAGTATATATATAACAATTTTTTTTCATAACACTCTCATTTTAGCGAGTAGTTAATATGAGAGGATTTAGAAATGTAAAATTATATACTATTCGTATCCTTCATGCCCTTACAACTTTATCGTTTATTTATTTATTTTTGTGTAACTCTTATCTCATATATATATATATATATATATATATATATATATATATATATGAGTTTAGTGAGTGTACAGTAACTGGATGTAAAAATCGGTCCAGTGCACTATGTTCTCCCGCGAGAACACAGTTATAGTAAAATTATAACTATGTTCTCGCGGGAGAATACCATTGTAATATTTTTGCACTATGTTCTCGCGGGAGAACATAGTGCACTGGACCGTCCAATCACTTTATTTTCATTTATATATATATATATATATATATATATATATATATATATATATATATATATATATATATATATATATATATTGGGAGTATATAGTCTACCTCCTTTGATATATATTATATGGAAATCATACTTTTACATTAGATTGATTTCTGATGTTGATTGATTTTTTATGTTGCACTCACATCGAAAAATGTCCCTATTTTTTAAAAATAAAAATTAGTAGATCCCATTTTATTTTTCTCTTGATGTATTCTGCTAGAGAGAAATAATTCCATATTATATATATTATAAAACACACAAGGATATTATTTTTAAGAGGGAAAGAAGTAGAAGATAGGTAAGAAACATACTTGAGCAATGGGGGTAAAAATGCTTCCTTGTGGGGGCTTGTTCCTGTAATATAGAGTGCCACATATCAAACTTATCAATCCCATTGCCATGGCAGCTGCTGATACCCCAAAGCCCGCATCCATTCCCGAATGAGTTTGAACCCAAACAAGAATTGTTAGAGCAACAAGCTCTCCCACTGAGAATGCAAAATATGCGGCATTGAAGTAAGTGGAGAGCTTCTTTAATTGCTTGGGGTTCTCTTGATTGAATTGGTCACCTCCATGAGCAATCATGTTAGGCTTGACACAGCCACTCCCTAATGCCACCAAGTATATTGATAAAAAGAATATCAAGGCCTTGAATCCCTTTGCTTCTGTGCAATGTTCTCCATCACTGAACATATTGCATGGTGCTGGCTTCAATTGAGGAACATGAGCTTGGACTGAGAGCAATATGAAACCCTATAAGAACCAACAACATGCACAAGAACCAATTATTATCATTTTTTTTTTTAAAAAAAAAAATGTTCTTTAGCTCTCTCTCGCACTCTCACGCTAAGAAAGGCACACAAACCTTATTATATAACTTTAATTATAGGTTGGCCAATTAGTCCAAAACTAAATTTAAATTTTTTTAACAAATATAAAGAACAAGAAAATGACTGAACATTCCTTCTTAACAATTAATGTTGGGTGAAGTCTGAAAATATAATTTTGAAAGCAATAAAAGTCATCCACTTAATTGTAGTGGCTGCCTGGGTAGATGCTATAGAGAGACAAAACGTAGATGGAAAAGAATATACTATACTATACACGCACGTACGCACGTGCGGTGTCTCACTCACACAGAGAGAGAAAGAGAAAGAGAAAGAGAAAGAGAAAGAGGGAGGGGTAGCTTACAGAAAGTTCCACAAAGCCAAAGATGAGGATGGTCCAGAAGCTCCCAAGATAAGAGTCTGAAAGAAATCCACCAAGGAGAGCCAGCAGAAAGATAGTTCCAACAAAGTTAGTCACTATGTTTGCTGACTCAGACAAAGAGAAGTGCATCTCATTGATCACATAAGTTATGAGGTTGTTTCCCACTGCAGCTATTCCCATTATTTCAAATGCTTGAAGCCCTGAAATTATTCATATGCACATCAGAGAGCACAGTACGTTGTTAATATCTAACTACATATATACAATCCAGAAAACCAAATCAGCACTAGATCGATCTCTCATATATAACAAGAACTAATTAAAGCACCAGCAGTTTCGGTTAAAAAGTTGGCATAATAACTTGAGAAGAGAAAGAGGTGTATATATATATATATATATATATATAGATAGATAGATAGATACCATACCAAGAACAAAAGCAGCAGCTCTCATTCCACCGTGCTTGATAGGATTGGAGGGTCTGCCTCTCCAGTCTACAGTAGTTTCTCCCATGCTCTCTTCATCATAATCCTTCCTTATTCCAATATGATCCATTCTCTCTCTCTCTCTCTCTTTTGATGGCGGTTTCTTGTCTTGTTCTGATGCTGAATCTGAGGGAAGTTGGTCCATTATTTATAATGCCGAGCACTAGTAGTAGATTCTGACCCAAACTCAGACTTAACCTAGGCCCCCCCACTTATTTATTCACACGTGTACAACACTCCCACCAGAGAAAATGTTTTCCAAGGGGACAGTGATTCTTTTTATATATTTAATTCAATCTACTTATATAATTTAAGGGCCGAATTAACAAATTGTTAATATAGTACTGAGCATAACATCTGTTAATCAAAATTAATGATCTGTTCATACTTTAATTGCTTATTACACGTCTAAATTAAATACAACTTAAACAAGAATTGGTGAGCCTAAGTAGTAGCTATAGCTGCTGCTTTCATGTACGTACATGCATAATTATCATATGAAAGGAGCATTTGCGCCAAGTTTCGGTGTGGGAATATAGATCAAGTTTGGTATATGGAACTTGCCTTTGTTTCTGAATTTGATAATTACTGAACAAGAGACTCCACTTATAAAAAAGTCAAACCAAATGCCCATTACTATTATTTAAATGCATAATTCCCGAAATATATATATATATATATATATATATATTAAAAAATATAATATAAATGCATCACTCACCCTTGAAACCTATAAGAGAAAATATAATATAAGATTATTAATTGATCTTCACTAGATTAAGTTTTAGGGTTGAATTGATTCTTTATATAATATTAGAGTATGATATATTATTCATCCTTTAAGGTTAATGGGTTCTTGCGTGAGAAAACATGTTAGAAAAAATATAAAATCATTAATTAACCTTCAACTAATACCTTAAATTTTAGAATTGAATCCTGTTTTTCAAAACCCCCCAACATGATGTTCATCCAAGTTACTATAGAAGTTTCTATTTCGATACCGCTTTATTACGTACAGCAACTTTTAGCTTAGAAGAATTTCTAATTAATTTTCTTGACTAGTCTAGTCATACATACTCTACGATAGGTGCCGTTCCTTATAGTCAAATGTTTTCTCTCTCGTTATGATAGCTTTTAGTACTAAATGTATTTAGTTTATAAGTCCACAACTTCACATATATACATGCATGCGAAGCAGAGAAACCCTTTGCTTTAAAAAGATAAAATGAAATTGTTTTTTTTTTTTTTTTACTTTTTATCCGTTTTCTTTTATATCATTCTCACAATAATAAGGTAGATTCCTTGCAATTGTTACAACTACGAGGAAAATTACTTTAAATGCCAATCTCCAATGTTGAACCCTAACCTTACCATACCATATATATGTTGATATCCATTTCTATTTTCTTGTTGGAAATAATCAAGTGTGAGTGAGTAGTGGTGAAGTAAGTTCCACATAGGCTAGACATAGACCAAGTGATGACCATATAAGTGTAAAAAGATCCATAAACCTATAGCCTTAAGGTTTTGGGTTGAGATGTGGTGTCGGCTCACTTATTATGGTTTGTCATTTGACTCATTGGTGGATGTACCATTTGCAAAGGGTTTTGAGCTCCCTTGTTTCATTCCCAACATTTTGCACGTTCAATTAGTGGAAAATGGAAAATTTATACTTTTCTTATGAAACACTCATCACAAAAAGTAATTTTGCAAGTATATATCTTATATATATATATGAAGGTTAAAAACCATTTTAATTAAGTAGTAAATAAAATAAAACTATTTCAATTAGTCTATCTCTTAAATTAAGGATATGGCATTGGCGACCACTGAATTAAAATATATTGAGAAAAAGAGGAGGACAATTAAAGAAGAAGATGTTGGGTGGACATGCACTCGTTGCTAGCTAGAAGAAATGATAATGAGTTTTGTAACAATGCCACATGCCTTCAAGTGCTTTACTGCAATGTAGTTTGGTGTGTTCTAACAAAGGGGACCAAGTAGAAAGGTTGTCGGTGCTTAATTTAACAACAAAATGATGCTGATCATTGCTCTCATTTCCGATTTCATTGGTCAATCTATTTGTGTGTAAATGTTAGGTACCCTTTTAACCCCCCCCCCCCCCCCCCCCCCCCCCCCCCGGTTCATATTTGATACCCAAAAAAATTCAATTTTATATAACCCAAAACACTAATATGTGCTTTAAAGAAAGAGAAGCAAACAAAGAAAGCTTCCTCTATTCGACATTGTGGATTTTATTTAAAAGTGAAAATTTTAATGTTTTTAGCTAAGCTAAGCATATCAACGAGTTTTTAGCTTTTTATATGGCTGTCGAGTTTCTAAAAGTGAAAATTTTAATGTTGTGTAAGCAAGAACTCTCCTGAAGTCTAAGTTACATGCGCATATTAAGCTTTTTTTATTTTGTGTTGAAAGTGAATTTTATTTAGAAAAATAAAGGCAATTAGGATAAGCTTATTTTATTTTGTGTTGAAAGTGAACTTTTGTTTAAAAGAAATAGAGGTATAAGGATTGAGCTCGTGGCCATGATATTAAAAATCAACTTTTTAAAAAATTTAGAGTTATAAATGATTGTATTCTAATGAATGGCTTTATATTTAAGAAGTAGGCATATCTATTGTTCATAGTTTTTCGATATATATATATATTCTACGGCACTTCTTGCTTTCATCCTATTCCTACACGTACGTTCACGTTCTAAGCCCGTTCAACATATTGTCATATGAATTATTGGAAGAAAAAAGGAAGAAGAAAAAGGAAGAAACATACTTTTACTCATTTCCTTTCATGACATGAAAATTATTTCCAAATTGCCAATAATAACGGATTAAAAACTAAGAATACACAATTATATCTCATGCTCCCCACCCATGCAATGGTATAGAAGCAATATGTAGGTTATAACCTTTTCGCTCAGAAAAATTCAGAAAGAAAGAAAAGAAATATTCTTCTGCAAAATCATAGTGTTTATCTGCTATTTCTCCTATATATAAGTGATTTATATATCTGTTTGGGTCAAGAATGAGATATATATTGCTACTCAAGTCTAGATTTACTTTATGTGTATTTACACGTGGCATTAGTTTAATGGTTTGCCGGCATAAAAGTCAATGTCCAAATACAGTTCATTATGAATAGAAGGGCACATGATCTTTGTTGTGCTTAGATTTTCAAGTACATGGAAAAGATGTCTTGAGAACAAAGCGGGAGACAAGTGGAGACAGAACACATGAATCCTAAGCGGATCCCATAAACCTACCTATTCCAATAAAAAAGAATAGTTAAAGAGTCTTGGAGTTCACTCAACTTACTTACATATCACCTATAGCAGAGGCCACAAGATAGAGGGTAAGTAGCAGTAGCCTCTTTGAAACCATAGTTGATAGTTACTTTCCCATCAAAACACACAATCAATGGTTAGAATGTTTTGCGAAACATAGAATAGACAGAAGAAATTATTGTTATTTAAAAATGCAAAGACATCATGCAGAATTTGCTTAAATTATTTTAATATAAACAGATAATAATGACTAAAATCGCTCTTCATGGACTCAATAATTGGTTCTAAGAAGTTCGTGATAAATTTGCTTATTTTAATACCGTTAACTTTTTTGTACATGCTTTATACACATGCAGCATTTTCTTTTTGGAATTTTCCTCCTAGCTATTTCGCTTTTGGCGGACAATTTTTTTTTTTCATCTTTTAAAATTTAATTTCGCGCTATAAGACGTTTTAGACCATGAAATAGTAAAGATGGATAAGTCGAAGTTAAATATTTTCCAAAAGAAAAAAAGTGTTATAACCTTGTAACCCTTAATGACTTAAAAGAATTTGATGGAAAACTTTGAGCCAAATTTATTATTCGATTAGTAGATCGTGTCCATGCCCTTATCTCTTGATATGAAACTTTTCTATTATATATTGCCTACAACTTGTGTTTCTTCTTTCATTCTGTGAATTTGTAGCAATATTTAGTATATATCCATAAATGATAATGTGAATTTCCTATTGAACAAAACAAATGCGTATTTAAATCTGATTTTAAGAAACGCTTGATCAGTTGAATGAAGAAACCGACTTTTAGTTCCTATACGTCAAGTACATCCAACAGGTTCTTTTTGTGCACAGAAAGGACAATGAAATGAAGGGACTATTTTCTTTCCCTAAACTTATTGCAAGCACTCAAGGTACAATGCAAAATTATTAAATAATTAAGGACATTAGGCATATCCCTCCAACCTTGGGGAAATAATTAAAGAATTTTATAAGAGTTATGTTGTAGAAAAAGTGATTGTGTAATGTTATAGAGATTCATTTTGCGTGCCATAATTTTCTTTTTTTCTTTTTTCTTCAAAAAATATGAGCCCCACAAAATATAATGTGTGTAAGAAAATTTGTTGTGACATGTTAAATGAACAACTCCGTGATTAAAATGCCAGAACTGACCACATTCATAGAATCTTATCCTTGCTTTTACGAGTGTTATTAGAAGGTAAAAGAGAGTGAAGAGAAAATATTGATTTCATTGATTGTGGTAATTGATTTGTACAACGAGTGAGCTCTTATATAGAAGAGCATAACAGAAAAGAGAGATCTAGAATATCATTAAAATACCAAACTACCCTTATACCTAATATCTAATACTCCCCCTCAAGATGGAGAGTGAACAAAGAGAACTTCCATCTTGAACAAGAAAAATCAAGAAAACATAGTAACCAAATAACATGAGCATCAGCCAGTAAAGAAACAGTGCTGGAATGGACATCAGCTAAAATGTGCTGGGATGGACATCAGCAAAGGAAGGAAGGGCTGGGATGGACATCAGCAACCTTGATATGAACTGCCGGGATGGACATCGGCAAAATCAACTGTTCTGAAATGAACTGCAGCAACATGATCAATGCTCCCCCTGAATAGGAAGCCAAAATAAAGCCAAAACAATGGCAGAAATAAACCAAATACAAGCCAAATCAGACTTGAATAACACCACAAATATATGTGGGAATAAAATCTAAGTGGCCAAATACAAGCCAGAAATATAAAAGTAAAACCAAATAAACCAAGTAAAACCAAATAAAAAACAAACAAACCATAATCGAGAAACAGTAGTTGAATGACCAAAATAA